CTCATATCTCTTTCCACTCCAAGGACAGCAATGCTTTCTTTCTCACTCACAAAAAACACAGAAGTAGACACATCTTTGACAAAAAGCCAAATCCAAGGGAAAATAGAGAACCACACATAAACTCTTTCTGGAAAAAAGACATGATAAAATATAAGTCATACAAAATCAATGCTTCTGATACTGGCAGGCACTTGAGTATCCAAGGTTTGAAGATGCTGACAGCATCTCTGCAAAACAGAACTACATGTGCAGCAAAGGGGTAGGCAAGCCAGTCAGTACCCATTAACAGTGCATCCACAGAAATATCAGAAACATGCTGCTCCTTTGAGCAGCATTATGTTTTGTCATATCTGGACTCTCTTGAATCTCTGCTAAAAATACATCTAGGAATTAGGCATTTCCTAGCACTACTTCAGTGTGCTCCCTGCCATTCTGATCTTGAACCTTTATAGTCTCCCTGGAAATAAGATTACATCCATCCCAGTCCAAGTTAGGTAGCTGTAGGTTCATCTAATGCCAGGCTCTTGGAGTGAAGAGGAGTGAAGGGAAGGTAAAAATCAAACTAACCAGAACTGGATCCTGCGTGGAGCGTTCTTACTGTCTGTACTGTCTCCTTTACTTCATATTATGCCATTAGCAGGTTTCATCCTAGCCAGACTGCCTGTAACCAAAGTAAAAGGACTGCTTGATACTAGTGAAGAGCTTTGTAACCTAATATATAAAGCATGGTTCAGAAAGCCCGTTCTGCTGAAGAAGCAAAAGTACCCAGAAAGCAAAAAAAACCCTCAAGTTACTTGTAATAAGTTCCTTCTCTGCACTCAAACAGAAGTATTCCTACAGTTTTCCTATTGGCAACTTGGAGAACTTAAAAACTTTCCTCATCCACCTGTGCTCAGAATTTAAGTAAAATTTTTGTATTGCCTGTTCTTCTGCTAATGGCATTAAACTTCAGGATCTGAATAAAACAGTAAATTGTTATTAAAAGTGGAGAAAAGATCAAGTGTTCCCTCTTGCATAAATCATGCAGTCTCTGCTTGCTGGTTACTACCCACTGTCACACACTACTGAGGTAGGTGAGTGCAATTCTCTACTGCACTTGACCTTATCCATTGAACTTTACTTCCTCTTCTTCTTCTTAAGTCCTTCCTTTCTTCCATGTTAAAAGAAAAATCTATAATACAAAAAACCTTAACATTAATTTCTATACCTTTTTCCCAAAAGATCCATGCTCATGAATAAACTTTGAAATAACAGTGACATTTTCACCACTATAATCTAGTAGGTTCAAGGGATTAAATATGTGACCTAATTGGCACTTATGCAAAAAGAACAAGTTACATGTGTTATAAACCCTGACAATCTCTTAAAGAATGTTGCTCATTCAGCAAAGTCTTTGAACGTTTTGCGGTGTTGCTTGATAACTGCAGTTGGTAGATAGTAGCAGTTGAAATGTGTAGCTCTACTCATAAGATAGGAAGCTTCAGTTAACTAAAAGCATCAATATTTAATTACTGAAATACGCTGTGTGATCCAGAAAAGGCCTAAAAGCTGAAGCTATTGAACTGTGTAGCTTACTCAGCAAAGCACACAGCTGGTCTGTAAAAAATGAGAAATGTGCATGGCTTCTAGAATAATTTAGAAAATCAGCTATAAATTTGAACAGATTATTTAATCAGGAAAAAGGAAATAATTAAGTCGAGAAGAATTAGGATAAATCTGAGGGATATGCAGATTATTCAACAAGTTACAGAGTTATCCCCAAGAGACTACATTGGAGGGGGGTAACTTACCTGGTTATTGAACAATAAAAAACAACTGACAATACTGAACTAACAAAGTATTTGGATAGTATAGAGTTTTCCTTAAATAAGGTAACGCACAAGGAAGCAGGTACAGGGGGACAGCAAGAAGACTACTTTTCCTTTCTCCATGAATTAAAGAGATACGATGTTTCAAAGATCTTAATGCTTCTATGAAAAGAGATGCCTTTTAAAGTCAAGGATGCTGAAACCCATTACGTGTGACAAATATCCCTAGTTTTATTACTTGGATAGTGAGTCAGAAGCTTATGGAGGTCAGGAGGATTTTGTTCCCTTGTTTGTTTTACATTTACATATTTTGCATTATATAGCAACTGCCATTGAAAGATCTTGGAGCACTTGCCAAATGGTACTGATTTAAAACATTTAAAAAAACACAGTTGTAGATGTTAACTTGAATTATCCTATCTACAAAATCAGGCTCAGAAAACCAAGAGGATCTGCCATAGTGTAACAGATTAGTGAAAATGCTCAAAATAGAACTTCAATTTTATTTTCAAAACCAGGAATTATAAACAACCATGCATGTCCTTTTAAGCCACAAGTTGTCAGAAACTGAATATGGCAATACTAACGCTGCACAGTTGTTTGAAAAACCTGTGTATTTAAGTAGAATAGAATTTTACTGAGAGGAAATGCTGTTTTTGTAGAAAAACTCATCACATAAATATCATCAAAATATCAGTGAAATATGAAAGACAAATAATCCCAGGTATGACAAAAAATTAATTGTTCATCATAGGTCACTTACACTGTGAGAGAAGCATCCACTATCTAAGTCATCAGGTCAGGCTTATATCAAAAAAGTGACTTAGCTTGGGTCTGTTTGTTTATGAGATATGATGGTATCATCAAAAAAGCCAGAAGGTCTCTACAGCTCAGAATTCAAGACATGTCTCTGTAATACATCAGAAACTCTGATGTTTGTACAAACTTCTAGGGCCTGAACATCTCACAAACATGTTTCTTCTCATCTTCTCTCTCTTTGTTTCCTTTTATGGGTCACGAGCTCCTTCTGGAAGTTGGTAAAAAATAGAAATGGAAATATCATGAACATTTTTCTAGACTATAAACTTTGACTTCAGATGAGTTTTGATCAAAAACTGCCATGAGATGGAATGAACAAATCAGATGTACTTAAAACTCTTGTCAGTGGACTCTACCCTCATCACCACTAGCAAGTATCGATAAACAGAGCTCCAGTCTGCTTTGTGAATGAGTTGAAATACCCTCTTCAACATCTTTAGATTTTCTTTTATTTTAGTCATATAATTTGAGAACTCTAAAGAGGAAATGCCATTTCCAAGTCTAAATGATCAAACTAGAGACCAGTTCCTTAGACACTGTGTGTGTGTGTGTTTAATAAGCAGGATCCCTCCCATTAGGAGACTGCAGCAACGCATCTCCCTCCTTCTAAGTTCAAGTGAGAAGAAGAATTTTCTAGATATTACATCTGCCACCTGCTTTACAAGAAACAAAGAAAGTAGCTATCGAAAAAGAAGAAAATGCAGAAACTTATTTACAGCATCAGTATTTCCCATATAATTATTTTCTTATATCTTAAATACACACATCTTCCATATGAAATTCTATGGCCATATCAAGCTATGGGCACATACAAAGTAGAGCTGAAAGAGCTGTCTGTTTATTTGAATTGAATGTCTTTTACAGTTTAGTGTAACTGGAGGTAGATGCAATATTAAGTGATTTTCTTCCAGTGGTTTGAAATAATAGTAATCTATGAGCATTAGGACAGAGCATTGGATATTGGAATCAGTTGTTTAAAGTGAAGCCTACAGAAACATGCAAATGAAACGACAAAATCAAATCACAGCAGGTTATATAATGATTGTCAGAACAGTACAGTGCAGATCCTCCTGGAGGAAAGGCTGTTTCTATGTTGTCAAAAAAGTAAAGCTAATACTGCAAAAAATTTCTATGAGTACGCTACTTGGAAGGATATACAAGATTCAGAGTATTACAGTGATGATGTTAATATTATTTCCCATTTATCTCAAACCATTAAAATAAAGTTTAAGGCAATTACATGGCAAAAGAGTCTGTAATCTGCTATGCATTAATACATTTCTGATCCTGCAGGCAGGAGTTTCATTTCATACAAAGGTATGAAAATGGATACTGCCATTGTCAGGACTTTTGCCTTAACTAAGTCTATCAGTCTTACTTTCAGAACTGATAAGTTTGTCCTCTTCAGTAGATGCCTTTATGGGAGTAATAGAAGCTCCCAGGAGCTTCAGTTTTAAGTACTTTTCACAATTACATTACACTATTATTTGGTCCATTCAGTGAAGAAGGGTTACTAATCTGTAACTGGAGACAAATACTAATCATCATACAGGACTTAGCTATTGTTTAATTAACAAACTTATGTAGCAGTGGCCTTTCCTTAGAATTCTAGATTGTTAAAGGAGCAAAAATGGTCCAGTGAAATATAAATGGCAACACAAATATTTTTAGCAATAAAATGGAAAACACTTTAAAAATAAAATCTGAAATGCTTTTTTTTTCTTTTAAATTTCCTGCAAAGTTTGTTGAACAAATCTGTCACCCCAAATGCAGATACTTCTGTAAACTGAAATACTAATATATATCTGCAGACTATACAGTGCAATATAGCACAAGTAGTTGCTCAAGAACATCTTACAAAACAGTGCTTTGTGTTGCCAGGTTCATAAAATTTTGGGACCAAATAATGAACAAATTTAAGCATGTGCTTAATTCAAAGACCACAATTAATTTTACTGGAACAAGTGGGACTCCTTAGAGACTTTAAGATAAGCCTTGTCCTGACGTCTTCAAATCAGCAGACCTCTAAAGGCTGCCTCTGGCAGCATGGAGTCCATTTCAGGAAATGAAAGATACCAAGTAGTATCTGACCTCATTCTCACCTTTCACTACTAAGAACATAAAGTGTCCCTCACAAAGCTTACAAGAAAGCTGTAGGCAAGCCTCACTCATCATTCAGATGTGATGGCCCTCTTGAAATCAGTAGGCAACTCTAATATTCATAATACATACAATAAAACTTGCACTGGTTTAAAAATGAAAATGTACTGGCTCAGGCACTGTGATTCTGCTCTCTAAAGCATAAAATGTATTAGTTTTCATTTGTTTTCTTCTTAAACAAACCCCAAATATAGCATTCAGTATAAATTTAAGTACATATGAAACTGATTTATATAATATTTGACACTTTATAAAATAGTACTGAAGTAGTCAATAAAAAGATTAGGTTTAAAATATTTACATTTTATACACAATTTTCCCCTACTTACAATTATTAAATAATCTTCTCTGGTTTCCTTAGTTTTAGGGAAAGGCTATTAATAATTACAAACTAATTTTGAATTACTTTTAAATGGCTTTTTACTTAAACAGAATTTTAGCAAAATAACATTTCCCATGTGAAATATTATGTCTGTGTTTTCAGTAGTAGGTAAATACATGTATCTCCATGTTTTATAGCTGTTTTATAATGCAATCATGTTTTCCATAATAAACAGTGGAGATTTAAGAAATAAAATGTCGCAGTATGGATGGAAACATAATTATATTCCCAACTTTTAAATCCCTTTGTCGTTTGGCTTCTTGATTATCCAGTTTCTTGATAAGGTCTTTTAGTCATCCAGTACTTCCAAGGAATCACAGATTTGATACTTATTTAGGTTTTTGTGTCATCATCTTTTGAAAAATTATTTCCTGCAGCTGCTTCACAGACACTCTCACCATCCGTGCTGAAATCATCGTCGTCATCATCGTCAGAATCAGCCAACACTTTACTTGGTGACTTCTTCAGTCTACTAAAACAAAAATACACATATCTTTGCTCTTAAAACTGTACATCTACATGCAGAACACTTATGCAGAACAGCTTAAAGCACTGACAGGTAGCATTTACATTTTTAAAGGATGTCAAAGAAACTCGTGCTCTAATAGGGGTGGTTTATCACAGTCTACATCTCTTATGAAAGAAACACACAAGAGAAAGGAGACGAATCAATAATGGTTTCAAGCACCTCAAACTTAAGTCACAGAGAGGGGAAACTGTAAACTTTGCATAGTGAGATATTCAAAGATGGCTGAGGAAAATTAACACAGGATAACTGTACCTCTCAGTCATTACCAGGAAATTTTATTACTAGAAATGGTAAGAGTGTTGAGTCTCACCACCTTTTTCCATGTATTTATTCCCTGCCTCAGTTACTTTATTCAGCAAGCAGATCTTGGAAAGAAGGTTTGGGCACCTAGAGCACCCTGGAAAGAATTGGAGAACTTTTGTGGAGAAAGAAAATGCAGAAGAACTTCACAGGTCTGTCTCTTAAACTCTGTCTGTTTATGACAAATTTGAAGTTTGTTAGAGAAAGCCCTTAGTTTATGGACTAAAGGAGTAAGAGATCAATCTTGAAGGTGGTGGTGTAAAATGTTATTGTGAAGTCTGACGAGTCATCCTACCTTAATTCCTTCTTTGCAGCATTAAGCTGTCCTTGCAATTCCTCATTCATGTCTAGTTGCTCTTCCAGTTCTCTCTGGAGTTTCTTTTTAGCACTCTCCAGTCTGTCTATCTCTTCTTCAGCTTCTTCAACTTGACGTTTCATTGCTTTCAAACGCAAACTCAACTGAAATATTCACATGTCAGCTGATTAGAGGACTATTTTAATAAAGGAATTTTATTCTTCCAGAATCTATGAGAGGGAGAATAAAGACACAACTTTGCCAGTGTAAGTGACACTGTAATCCTATGCTTCAGAAGTATCAGAAAGCCAGCATTAGACTTTGACAAAAGTGATGGGATACAACTTTTAAAGAAAAAAACAGCAACAAATTAATGTAGCTTCGGTAGAGCATGACAGTATGTCACAGCAAGAGGTGGTAATAAGTAAGGGAAGACTAGAGCTATTAGTGTGTCTAAGTTAAATAACTTTACTGTACTACAGACAGATACTATAAAACACATTTTAAAAACCCAGAGGATTATAAAAGATTGTTCCCTTAACAGATGCCTTGCAATTTGAAACAATGTTCTGCCTAGAAAATTAACAGCAAGTATTTTGACTTATGTACTGAAATAAACTGTGTTTTAAGCAAGGAATCAAGAAAGACCACAGGAACAATAGAGCACATTGCTATTACAATATCAGTGTACGACTAATACCTATAGATTATATTCAACAATAAATAGCTCCTCTCTTTTAACAAAATCTTATGGTGGCAAAACAAATAATATATTTGTTGGTGTATGTGTTTATAGGATCACATATTGGTGTGTGTATATATATACACACACACATATATATAAAGAATCATATACTATTATTGGGTTTATTTCTTAAAATGACTTTAGCACTGCTTCTATAAGGCTTCCTTTTCATAATTCTAGAAATGAATAACAATTTATTACTAGACAAAATAATATTATGACAGTGGGAACTGCAAATCTCACTAAATGGGAGTTCATTAAAAACACAGTAATCAGTATCTACTTATAAGCTTCTCATATCTTTTGTTTATCATTTATGTTAATAGGATTAATATCAGATATTTGCATATCAGTCTTTCCCTCTACCTGGTCTTTCTGATCAGTCAATGAGAGATGTTCATCATCGACTTGCAACATTAACTCCTTCACTTTTCTCTCAAGTCTGCGGTTATTTAGTTGGAAATTAGCTCTATCCCTAGAAGAAACAAGACAAAAGACAAGCTTGTAAAAAAAACAAAACAAAAGGAACTGAAATATTTCCAATCCTGCTGACACAATTCCTTAGCATCCTCCTAGGAATTGAATAAACACTAATGGCCCCTGCTTTGATTTACTGATTCCATATAGCATATTAAGAAATTTGTTCAAAAGCTTTAACCACTAAGGGGAATTTCTTCTGTACCTGGAGCAACGTTTACAATTAAAAAATACATTCCTCCAAGATTAAATAATGAAGTAAACATGAAAACAGAAGTGTAAGATGACAGTTAATTTCTGAGCCTGTTAGTGATATCAGACATTGCTAAAGTAGATGTTAACACTGTGCCAAGTTTTAAATTTATAGGGCAACTTCTAGTGAGCTTTCTGTCAAAAAGAAAATTTGCAATACTTGTATGAAACAGTAACCACTGTGATTCGGTGCTTGTGAGAAAAAAAATCAAGTTAATTGTATTAGAGACTCAATATTAGTAACAGGCCATATTAACAAACAAATATGCATGTTTTGATCTTAACATAACTAGTTTCACCTCTCTTCATTTTCAAGTCGTTCTTCTAGCTCTGCGATCCTTGCTTCCATTTGAGCAACAAGTCCCTCTTTACTGGATCGGTAAGAACCCTCCAAGTGAAGGATTCGGCTCTTCAAGTCTTTGTTCTATGGTTGGAACACATTTGATTACCACATACATGCTCATATTAACAAATATAACCTTACCACAAAATCAGTTTCTCCAGGTAAACATAAGGTGATCAGTATATTTTTAATTAGGTAAATATGGAAAAAGAGTCACTGAGATTTTACTGTTTACTACAAACAAATCTTCTATTACTGTGCTTCATTAAAAAGAAGTGTTAAAGCCTGAGTTAAATTTTTTGCATCAAATGGGCCCTTGAATTCCAGATGCTCGCAAGCCTCTCCCAATAGCATTTTTTAATATGCCAAAATGTTTCAAATAGCATTGGATATGTCTTAGTCTCCATACAATTCTTTTGTCAGTTTCTGTATTTTTCCCCTTTACCTCACTGGTTTATGGCTAAGACAAGTAGACAAAAAATGTGTCTGCATCAAATATTGGTTTAATATATCAAAGTTGTTACTGTGAGTTGTTCCCTGCCCCCTTTCTTAATTATTCAATGCTACTCCTACTGCATAAATGGTTAGAAAACTTTGCAAGCAGACTTTCTGCTGAGATTTATGCCTTTTTTTTTTTTTTGCCAAGAGAAAAAAAAAAAAAAAGGAGATACATGAGTACATGAGGAACAGAACTTCAAACCATGGTCTAAACCATGGTCTCAGATCTCCAACACTAAAATGCTATGAGAAGTCAGAATTAAAGCATAAGAACGTACATGGGATATACCAGTAGGTGGCGTTCTTTTTTATCAAACAGTTAAGATAGCATTAATTTCACATAATATAAGGCACCAAATTAGGCGTCCGATATAAATGTGTTCTCTAAATTTCAATTATAGTCCATCTTATGCTCTAGAGAGTGTCAATAATATTATGACTTGCTAAGATAGCTTTTCTCTGGATCTCACCTAGGGCCTACAATAGCAGTCCTGCTTTTAAAGGCCTCTGAGCTGCAGAGTAAAATATTGCAAAAGGCTAGAAAGTATTTTTATGTACTTTTCATCACAGATATTGAAACGTAGGAGTTATGTTCCTTTCTAGGTGGAGGGCAGCAGTTCTCTACCAAATCTGTATCTTTTCTTGCAGAGGCAAGTATTTTTTTCACTTCTTTGGTCCTACAGAAGAAAATACTCAATTAAAATCACAACTGCTTGAAATCATGATTCTCAGCAGAGGTCCTGAAGGTCTGTTAAGACTTTGAAGAACAGCTCCTCCAAAAGAGGTCAAAGGATGTACAGATAAACTAGGTAAGACTGTCTTTGATATTGTAGTCTTTTCTGTATATGTGCTTTTAAAAAATCTATATTGATATCTCACTTTTAGCCTAAAACAAGTGCTCCATACCAACTGTCTTTGATGCTCCAATGTATAGACAGCATCTGTGTGGTAGAGAGATGCCTGCACTTGCTACAACAAAAATGTTGTATTATATAAACAGATGTATGCACAGTATGAGTGTTTAGCATATGAAATATATAAACTATAACAAACCTCAAGCTAAAACAGGACAAACAGAAGGGAAAAATACTCAGTGGTCATGTATCTCAAGATTATAATATTTTCTTTTAAGCATCAATATTAACATACTGATTTTTAAAATCTACTCTTAGTAACACATACTTCCAGCAGCACACCATGATGGGACAGTGGCAGCTACTGTATTCCTTAAATGCTTATTTGCATTTCCTAATGAAGGCAGATACCCAGCCTATTATCTCGCTAGTGTGATGATACATCAGCCATAATTACCTGTCTTTCCAGTGAAATTTTGTCACACTCCAAATCTTGCTTTATAGCTCTTTCCTGTAGAAGCTCTGTCCTCATTTGTTCAATCTATTACAGAAAGACAGAAAATTGAATTTTTTAACTTACATTTATCTATACGATACTGCATGTGTGTGTGTGTGTGTATACACACATAAAGTACAAATGTGATGAGAAAAAAATTGCTTTCTTCAAACTCAAGAAACAAGCATGATTTCAAATGAAGTTCAGAATTACAATATTGAACTAAATTTTCCACTTCAGGAAGACTATGTTATTCTCAATGCTTATTCTAGGCATTTTCCAGTCACACTGGGTGTTGTTGAAATTCAGTATATATATTCTGTAGCAGGGAACTGAACTCTAAAATGCTGCATAACAGCCATACCATGTAGCAGGGAACCGAGTTCAGGAACATAACACCAGTCTTCAAAGACCTTCTACAGTTGCTTTCTTTATACTTAACTCTGAAGAGACACCTTACCTTTAAGCTACTGTCTACTTTAAAGTTTCAGTCTATTAAACACAAATTGCTAACTGTAGAGAAGTGCCTAAAACTCAGCAAGACACTCCGCAAACAATTGCAGTTTTTATTGTCTGTGAGACTAGTAAAAGCTCTTTTTCAACAGACTTAGTGACATACTGGATATGAACACTGCTCCCCTCCTTCAGTCTATTTTATGTCTGTCATACCAGGAGAGCAGGGACTGCAGGATTAGGGCAAGGGGTGGGTTTTGGTTGTTTTTTTAAAACACAACTTTTGCTACAATTTATGTAAATATTTCAGTTGCATATTCTGTAACCAAAAGGAAAGCATATTCTCCATATGTAAGATGTTAAACAGAATCAAGATAACAACACAGAATTAGTTTATCTCACTACTGGACTTGACTGGAAAATAAATATTCTGAGGATCAAAGAGAAACTCTAAACTGCCTAACAGCTGCTACTGAAACTTCGGGGCTACAAGAAAATATCTGTAGTGCCCTATTACTTTTCTTCCCTCTCATTCCTG